GGGGGGGGGGGCTGTATCTCCACTTCAGCGGAAAGGACGGTTCTAGAGATTACTACTGTCTTTCCCCGAATAGAAAGGGCCGGTCGTTCTCTAGACTGCCCCAAATGCAGCTATAATGACAGTCACTGCGTTTTGTACTAGAGAGAGGTGGACGTTCCCAAAGTTGATTACAATACGTCGGCCAGACCAGATGACCGAGCACAACTAGAGACATAGCGAATTCTCACTGCGATCAGCGACACGTGAAGAACATGCATCACTCACATCGCACAGACATAGCCACTGTCATATAGCACATAGTACACATACACAGTAATTCCACGTAATGTTCTTTTTGTTCTCCTTCCTCTCTTTTTCGTCTCTATTTTTTTTTTGTTCTCTCTTTCCTTCTTCTACTTCTTTCTTCTTTCTTATGTTCCTTTTTTTTTTTCCCTTCACTTCTTTGATGTTCTTCTTCTTCTTCTACTTCTTCGTCAACTAGTATTCTTTTTCTCCATAACTTTTTCTCTTTCTCTTCTTCTCCTTCTCCATAACTTCATTCTCTTTCTCCTCAGCTTCTTCTTCTTCTTTATAACTTAAACTTTTTCTTGCTCTTCTTCTTCATAAGTCGTTCACTTAACTTCTTCGTTTTCTTGAACTTCTTCTACTGGCAGCCTGTAGCAGGCAAGCTTTAAGGACGACAATTCGTTCGCATTCTATTTGAGCGATAGACTCTACTGCGTATTTCCGGAAGAAGGGGGTTTTCGATCTCCTTACCTCGTAATAATGAGAATGCCACAGTTTCTTCTCTTCATCAGGAAGATTCGAGAACAACTTTTCTGACACGACGTACTCGATGCCAATCAGCTTTGCATCTTTCTTATCCGAGTCATACACCAGACATTGCATGAAATCTTCGTTCAGTTTCGCAATGAAATGGTGGGTTTCGATCACTCGCCGTATGTCATGACAGTAGTGAGCCCAACTGCACCCATGCTCCTTGATCATGTTCACCGGGTCGAACCTCTCTGCCATGGACGCAGCCTGGTCCCTCAATCTGGTCCCAATCCCTTTCTCCTCGCCGGGAACACGTGCAACCCCACCTTCCGTTTGCCCAGCCATCACTGGCTGGGGCGCATCACTTCGAAGATTACTCATCCTCCTCGCGCCACTCGGTGGCACTCACACTTCCACCAAACCTCTACCCAAAACTGCACCAAAACTCCACCAAAACTCCACCAAAACTCCACCAAAACTCACCGAAACTTCACCGAAACTCAACAAACTGCACTGAAACTTCCACTGAACTTGCAAACTTGCGGCAGTGAAACTTCAGCAGACCTTCAGAAACACCAACACTGGTACCGTTGCGAGTCGGAGGCTTGAGTCAAACTGCTGCGATGCAGAAAAAAAACGTCGTAGTCACTGGTCAGGAAACGGCGTATTTCAACTCTGACGTCATCCGTTCTTTTGTAAAGTAATTGTCCTTTCAGTGAACGACAAATGAGGGTCAAGAACACACACATCAGACAGACAGACCTTTCCATGCTGGCATCCCTCTTCCCCTTCTATTGTCGAAGTAAAACAGCTTCCACTCGAGATACAGGGCCTCGCTGCACTACACTTGAATCTTGAAGAATTGAGTGTACGGCACCGCCGCACTTACACTCCAAAACAAAGCTGGGAAGCAGCTTCAAGAGCTGTCAGATTGGCGCTAGATTCATCAAGAGTGAGTCATCGCTGCACTCACTCTTGACGGATGCTCTTGAATTTCTTTTTCAAGAGGTGTCAGAAGGCCCGATTCTAACAGCTCTTGGAGTGTTCAAGTGTGCCTGCCTGCAAGGGTGGGGTTTTTAAGGGTGGTGGGCCCGACCCTTCACGAGCTCTTCAGCTTCCAAGAGCGGGCCTCCAGTCTGGGCGGACAAAGCAGCGTTGCACCGTCGTGTAGCATTCACGACTGGGGAAAAAAAACAAAAAACAAATCAAGAATCCTTCAAGAGTAGGGCCGTCGAGAGTCAGTGCAGCGACAACAGCTATTGTGAGCATTTCTCTTGTCTGAGAGCTCTTGATCTATGCTTGAACTTTTCGTGAGTCAAGCGTAGTGCAGTGAGGCCCACAATCATACATGGCCTTCTCACAGCATCACATGGTGTCATGGACCCCCTTTCCGTCGATTGCACTCCTGCTCCCCTCCTCCTTTCCATCCTCCTTGGCTCTATTTCGCAGACTGAATTCGTGTCACGAGTCATGACAGGTCACCCCGCTCATTGCAGTCATTTTATCTCACCCCACGAACCAACATCATAGCAGTTGTTTTCTTAGGGCGACTTTCAGGGCATACTCAGGGTATACTCACACACGGGGACCTATAATCCCAAAATCCCAAGAAAAAGGGGAAAATGCCGGTCACACGGATCTACCGAATTCGCAAATGTACTATTCCAGTGCCCATTTGTCAGCGACCTGGGAAGCCGCGGGGCAAGGGATTTTGCGTTGTGTGACCAGCCAAGTACCGAATCCCCATTTCTCCAGACGGCCGCAACCTTGTCCCATCTGAGTGCATACTCAGGGCATTCTCACTCGGCAACCCCAAATCCGCAATTTGGGAAGGGCCGATTGAGGTTTGGGGCATGGTTCACTTCACACTGCTGTGCCTTTTCAGGTGGGACAAGGTCGCGGCCGTCTGGAGAAATGGGGATTTGGTACTTGGCTGATCACACGGAGCCATCCACCAATTGTGCAAGAACTTTTGTGAACGAATACGTGCCAATTTTCGAAGAATATGCAAAAAACAAAAAGGGGAATTTGCGGTCACCTCCAGAGGTAACAAAATCCCTTCCGCGGCTTCCCAGGCTGCTGACAAATGGGCACTGCACACTCACACGGGGACCTATAATCCCAAAATCCCAAAAAAAAGGGGAAAAGGCCCGTCACACAGACCATGACCGCAAATTCCCTTTTACTTTTCTTGCATTTTCTTCAAAAATTGGCAAGAATTCGTTCACAAAAGCTCTTGCACAATTGGTGGATGGCTCCGTGTGATCAGCCGAGTACCAAATCCCCATTTCTCCAGACGGCCGCGACCTTGTCCCATCTGAAAAGGCACAGCAGTGTGAGGTGAACCATGCCCAAAACCTCAAATCGGCCCTTCCCAAATCCGTATATTTTTGCGGATTTGGGGTCGCCGTGTGAGTGTGCCCTCACACGGGGACCTATGTTCCCATAATCCCCCCAAAAAGGGGAAAAGGCCGGTCACACGGATCTACCCAATTCGCAAATGTACTATTCCTGTGCCCATTTGTCAAATTGTCAGCGGAGGTGACCGCAAATGCCCTATTTCATTTTTCGCCTTTTCTTCGAAAATTGGCAAAATTTCGTTCACAAAAGTTCTTGCACAATCTGTGGATGATGGCGCCGAGTGACCAGCCAAGTACCAAATCCACAGTTCTCCAGACCGCCACGACCTTGTCCCATCTGAAAAGGTACACAGCAGTGACACGTGAACCATGCCCAAATGCTCTCCGAATCACTGGAACCATTACCACGTTTCGGTTCCAGTTTAAACCAGCAGTACTTGGCCCAGCTATCCCCCAGCTATCCCCCAGCTATCCCCCACAGACAAAAAGCAGTAGAAATGTTGTTGTTGTTGTTGTTGTTGTTGTTGTTGTTTTTTTTTTTTTTTTTTTTTTTTTTTTTTTTAAATCGTATGAATTTGGGCGCTCCTGAAGTGGCCAGAAAAATTCCGAAATTGTCGCTTGTTAACGTGCACAACTTTAGGACGTACTGCTGGTTGAAGCGCGTGGGTGCGACCACAGACTCACAGGGCGCGGTTAACTCCTGTACCTGGCGTAAGCCATTCCCTGGGAAAGGTTCTTTTTTACCCATCCATACATGCACACTGCACAGTGCACACTAAATGAACTGCCCCAAGCAGAATCTGGAATGTGGACAGTACCGAAACTCACCCACACGCATGTGCACAGCTTGCATTGATCGACTCCTGACGAAAGAGGGATAGGGATTCGAGCCCCTACATACTAATTATCATTCCGCTGTTCTAACCTACCGGTAGTAGTACGCCCAACTCACCTATAACAGGCTATAAGATGCATCTTGCCACTCTTTGTTGCATCTTACCGGTTTCTGTGCAATGCCTAAACTCCCCCACTGTGATGCGTACACTGGCATTCAACACACTGACCCACAGGGAAGCGGCGCAGAGGGGAAGAAGTCCGTGTCAAATTTTCACTCGTCACAGCGCCCGTTGACCTGTTGCATCCGTCCGCTGACTCAGGCCCACCTAGGTGAGTTCGATCATGATGCTAATTTGACAAAGAGCCTCGCCACACCACTGTCAAAACGACAGAGGTACTAGTAATCTAGTGCATCTTCCACAGAAAGCAGTAAGATGCAACAAAGAGTGGCAAGATGCATCCGTTATAAAAACGGATGCATCTTGCCACTCTTTGCGGCAACACGCACTCGTACTTCTCTCGTTTCCACAGTGGTGTGGCGAGGGCCATAAATAAGCCTGACGTGAAACATACCGTGCCCATGACAGTACACCACGTTCAAGCAACCGCTGCAGCACTGCTCTCAGCCTCTCGGTGCTCTGCCCCCACCAGCCTCAAGGCCCGCAAATCAATCGACAGATTCGACACTCGTCATATTCTCAAAAGCTTCAACAATACAAACACAGCTATGGACGACATAACTGGGCGAGAGAAGGTCCAATGAGCAAGATCGTGGGGGGGACGTGTCGAGATCCCATACGAGAAGGCAATAGAAAACGAAAAAAACAAAAATAGAAAGCAAAAATAAAAACTGAATAAAGTCGGGTACCACGCTTCCGTTGGCAGAGAAGATGAAATCCTCGGAGATGAAGAAAACGGACGGCCTGAGGAGCGGAAGAAACACGATATCATGCTTATTCTGTCTTTCACCATCATTTACGGTCATCTTCTCTCTCTCTCTCTCTCTCTCTCTCTCTCTCTCTCTCTCTCTCTCTCTCTCTCTCTCTCTCTCTCTCTCTCTCTCTCTCTTATATCTCTAACTCTGCTTGGATCACTCACCCGGTAGCGCATCTATTTCGGTACAGAGTGAATGCACTGGCCTGTGTCTCTCGCTCACTACCCTATCAGCTATGGTGGTCGTCTTCTCCCTTGCTAGCCCTACCTATGGCGCACATGCTTTGCTTCCTCAACCTCCCCAACTAGTCCAACCATATGGTCGCACAAGCGTTCAGCAGAGCTTCCACAACACGCAAATTGATGAGTGAGCCCTTCAGAGCATTGTAGCTCTATAAACAGCAGCTGAGTTGCGGTCCTTGCCGGCTCTAGACTGGTAATGGTCTCCCAGGGCCTGTCGGCTGCGCTTTTTGCAAGTTCCGGGGAACCCACCGGACTTTCCCAGGATGCTGCTGCTAGATTTGGACTGAGAGGATGTCCTTGTTGTAATTTCTGACTTGCCAGTGGAACAGGAACTGGACTGATTCTCCCCAGAAAGGATATGGAGCCAGGGCCATAAGACCAGTTTCATTAAATAAATAAAAAAAGGGCCCGAATGCCACTCTGGCTTTTTTATTTATTGTATTTATATCCTACCCCTTCAGCAGCATTGGCCGCGGGGGAGGAGGTCGATGGTCCTCTGCGCGCCAGAATCGGGTCGAAGTTTTGGTGCGGGCCGGCGGATGAAGGCGATTGAGGGCGGGTGGGCGTGCAGAGTGGCGCGCGTACCGAATTGTTCACAACGCGCCACTAAACGAGAGAGCGAGCCCACAGGGCTGCACGGGGCCGGGTAGATGGCGGGCGTCGATGCAGATGAATATCTCGACGCGCCCGCCGTCGATAAGCGGGCAAGGCGGATTTATTTTTTTTTGGTTTTCGTTCCCCTTCGCAGTTTTGTCGTTTCCCGCTGCCGCGACCTTTCTTTTCCCTTTTGTTTTCGTCGTTTCCCGCTGCCGCGGCCTTTTATTTTTCTTTTGTTTTTGTTGTTTCCCGCTTTCGCGGGCTTTTTTTTTCCTTTTGTTTTCATTGCGGTTTTTTTTTTTCTTTTGTTTTCGTCGTTTCCTGCTTTCATGGGCTGTTTTTTTCTTTTTGTTTTCGTCGTGGGTTTTTCTTTTTCTCTCAGTTTCGTCACTTTCGGCAAAAGGCATGGGGGCGGGTGCATGCACCTGCCCACATGCCACCCAACCATCGACCTGCCCGCCCGCCTGCCTGCCTGCCAGCCACCCACCCACACACACACACCTGCCCACGTGCCACCCAACCACCGACCTGCCTGGCCCGGACCACATAGGCTTGTTCAGTTTTTTTTTTTTTTTTTTTTTCTTTTTT